GGGAGATAATTATGAATGAATGAAAAAATTAATGGTTTCTTTTAAAAATCTTCTTCTCAAGTTTAAATTCAAGTTTGTTCAAATCATGATCCCCGGGGGTAGGGCGCGGCCACAATGGCTGATCACAGTTTTACATAGGAATATACAGGAAAAATCTTTTAAAAATCTTCTTCTCCAGAACCACTGGGCCAGGAAAGATGAAACTCATGTGGAAGCATCCTCAGGTAGTGTAGATTCAAATTTGTTCAAATCATGACTTCCAGGGGTAGGGCGGGGCCACAATGGCTGATCACAGTCTTACATAGGAATATATAGGAAAAATCTTTAAAAATCTTCGTCTCCAGAACCATTGGGTCAGGAAAGATGAAACTCATGTGGAAGCATCCTGGGGTAATGTAGATTGAAGTTTGTTGACCCTTGGGGTAGGGTGTGGCCACAATGAGGGATCAAAGTTTTGCATAAGAATATACATGTATAGGAAAAAATTTCTAGAAAAGAAAAGTTTTATTTAGTCAAAATGACGTGTAAGCATCTGCAAGTAGTGAAGGTTTAGATTTATACAAATAATGTCCGGGGGGTTAGCGAGGGGTCACAATGGCAGATTAAGTAATATGTTGGAAAAATCTTTTTAAATCTTCTTTTCAAGTATGGCAGAATTATACATGTATGCTTCATTGATATAGTGACATTCTCAAATAATCTCCCCTCCCCCAACAAGTAAGCTTTTCAATACTAAGCTGATTTGTGTTTTTAACTAGCCCATGTGCTCTGGTGAGCGATGTGGCCCATGGTCCTATTGTTAAATTTTATCTTTTCAAAAGAAAAAAGGACTCCAAACAATTAAATTTGACTCGTTACTATATAAAGTCTTTATGAATGAAATTGCATATTTATTTTTTAAAGAACAAAATTGGTAAAATTATAATGTTGCATGAATAAACGTAGATTTAATTAGTGTATTTTTTTTCTTTCCAATAGAACTACGTTTGTTTAGGAAATGGAAGTGCTTATTGTTAACATTCATTTGTTCTGTAATGTCTATTCTTACATTCCCATATTCCTAATCAATCAAGTACTTAAATACCAATTCTATAATTGTTCATCTTCGTCTAGAAGGATTCAGATATCTATTTTTGTATTTTTAGTTTCAAAATTAAATTTGATCAATAGTACCTGGGTATGGTTTTTGAAATCATCTCTTAAAAGTGCACCAATTCAGCTTTATTATAGCATTTTCAAAGCTCGGAACCTGTACATTAGATGATTACTTTCGCCAAGAGCAAAGATATGCTAAAATACAACGACGGGACAGTTATACTTGACGTCTATTTTTCGAAGGGCGTGTATGAACTTCATTGGTGTCAAATATAGGGACATTAAATTACGTCTATATATATTCAGCTCGAGTTGATATATCCGAAAGTCATTATATTACATAAGGGATACTCAAGGGACACAAAGATACTATTCTATTCATACGCCAACGCGACTTCTCGCAGAATTTCATCAACTGGTCATGATGCATCGATTTTGCTTATACCCTATATTTGGAGACATTTATTATCGTCCTGTACACCCTGTGGTGTGTAGGGCAGCAATAACTAGTCCCTGGCCAGCCTACACTGTAAAAAATGCGCTTAGAAAATAAACACTTCCATTACGTGTTTTGACCTAAACATGTATAAGATTGTGTTTAACGGCTAAACACTTAGGTTTAAACGTGTGTTATATTGTGTTTAACGGCTAAACACTTATGTCTAAACGTGTGTTATATCTAAATGATGTTAAGATTTAACACATGTTTAGATATAAGTGTTTAGAAATTGAACACTTTTCTGTGAAGTACAGAGTTATCTTCCCGGAAATGACACATATATATTCGAATGATAAATAGAGCGGTTATCGAAACAAAGGAAATCCCAATGTTAGCTAAAGAAGATGGATTAAAGGAAGTGAATGCTAATGAAAGTGATAACCATGAAGACATTGTGAAATGCATTTAAACTGCAACATTACTGCGATAAAAGGTATGTTAACTATTATTTTTATTTTACATAAATTGACCAAGATGGGCTACGTAAATAGACATGCGTTTGCACATGTAGTTGTAGATCAAGAGTACCTTTGGTTATATATTGCATTCCTGAAATCTAGAAAGGAGTACATTATATATTAGAATATCAATAATATCTATAACAGTATCAATAATTAATAGTGGTTATATAGACGAGGTTCAATGAAAGTAAAACAATAATAGCTATCAAACGTTTAAACAAAAAAGGTAATACAAATCCAGCCAGTGAGGAGCATATTTTGATAAATTTTGAATTTCTTTCTTACAGGATATGGTCCACATCGAACTTGAAAGCAGAAATATACGTATCAGAGAAACTGACTCTGCAAGTCCACACTTCTTACTTTCTAGGGGAAACTGAATTTTGTGAAGTCTGCTGTTCGTTATAGCTTGAACAACCTAAAAAATTCTCAAATAATGACAGTGGATTACCTACTGACGGTCACAGATGAAAACAAATTATGCGTGTGTTGCTCAGTGAAAAATTGCTGGAAGTTAAACTTGATACAGACATGAGGAATAACTGCTTGCTAATCTGGTTAGAATTAAAACCAGCGTGTAAAAATATAATGTATATTTAATTTTAAATTCTTTATAAAAATCCATGCTTGAATGTTCATTGAATAAAATTTAAAATGTAAACAATTGTTATTTTTTCAGTTTTCTTGTAGAAAGACAACAAAACATCCAAGTGTTTAATTTGTAAACATGTATCATAACATGTTTTGTAAAGTGTTTAAAGTCTAAACATGTAAGTGTTTTGGCTCTAAACACTTTCCGTTACATGTAATGAAATTCAATGTGTTTAGAATTTCAACGCATCCCAAAAAGTGTGACAAGAAAGTGCTTAGGAAAGTGTCTATCATCTAAACACATTTTTTACAGTGTAGTCAATGATCCTAAGGTCTGGTGCATGGTTTTCATCTCACTTTTCACTATTCTTTGTCATGATATTCTTGGCCTCCCTCTTTTTTTGCCCTCTGGTGTCCAGTACAGTGTTGTTCTTGTTGTCGACTTTTTAAATCCAACAAAATTAAAATTTTACAAACTTAACACACACTCAGACTCATATACATGTCCTACCAGATTGTAACCCATCTTATTCACACAAAAACCATGCAGTTGAGGGTTTCGAAGATTTTTCTCTATCAAGTTTTTTTCTTAAAATGCTTCCCTTTCATTTGGAATGTTTTTCCTGTTCTCAATATCGTTATAACTCATTCGTACCCACTAGGATATACCCCCACTACCGTTTTTTCTGGAGCTTTGAGGGGGTCCCCTTTAATAGCCCTAATCGGCACTACACACATGGCCTTGTTCATGTAGTTACCAACATTGTTGCAGTATGTACATGTCTTTCACAGATTAGTCTCTTATCAGGATTAAACAATCTTTTCAAGAATTAATCACTTTTTGACTCTCTCCCGAGGATATACAATTGCTGAAAGAAGAAAAAGAATTGCTTTAATACTTTTTTTTAACTCAATGTGTAAAAAGGTGATGCAGTGTAATCTCGGTTAATGACTCCTGTAACGAAGTAGTTCAAATAAAAGAGGGGTCTATGAATGTATATCAAACTTTGAATAAAAAGTCCGGTTAATGACTTTACCTTGAAAAAAGCTAGTTAATTAAAGCTACAAAAAAAAACTAAAGGGCTATCATGTTAATATCATTCTAACTAGTTAGCAATGTACCATTTTTTTCTTTTAAAAATCGGACATCTTTCCGTATGTATCTACGAATATACAGAGTTATGCACCTTGTGCATACAAGTCGGTTTGCTCAATTTTTTTTAGGAATTCATTGACCCTTTTTAATATTAGTCGATTTTTGTTGGCCAGAACCGATTGTTTATTTAAGATAATTAGATCAGTCTTCTATTTTGTTATACGCCTGTATAACAGTTCCCATATAACTCTTTAGCTCAGTAACATCATAGCGTACGACTTTTCAACACTTTATGCAATCTATCCTCACCGGATCTTGTGAATTGTCAATAACAAATCTACTACACACAAGTTCTGTGAAGTTGATATTAAAAGTATGCTAGAGCTTCTAAATTGACAACGTTTATGTGGTCTTCGGAGACCAAGTCTACCAACAAACTGCTGGGACTACAATGGGAAGTAGTTGTGCTCCTTTTAGTAGTCGACCTGTTTTCGAAATTCTTTGAAGCGGGATTAATTACAAAACGTCTGATAAAACACAACAAAATGAATAGACGATTTATGCCTTGCAGCTGCACAAGAAGAGGACATCAGTCCCACAGGTAAACTGCTGCTCGAGACACTGTAATACCGAGTATACACTGGATTGGAAGGCTCTGATATTGTGAGGATGATATACTTAATTAATAAAGTATATAGAGGTTTCTTTGAGTTTCCTGCATGAAAGTATCTTAAGAGTATGCCTCGACCGCCCGAGTACTGATAGTTAAAGAACTACTACACTTCGTCTTCTGTGGACCAAATTTTAAAATCCTACCATCAAACGAGTATATTCGGTATACAGTCTAAACAAACCTTAATCAGATGCGCATCAGGCAAAAAATACCAACTAAGACTAATTAGATATTCCTAAACGCTAGATATTTGTGGTATGATATGGGTGCAGTAAATATCTGACCTTTGTGGCATTGATTACCCTCACCAGCGCACTAATTTATCTACAGATGTCGGCATTTTAACTTCTGTGCATGCTTAGGAATGTTACAAATTCCCGATCTATTCTAAGCATCCCTATCACTATTTACTACCGTGTTACTATGAATCAACGAAAAGCAGTTTCAATCATGAGTCAAAACTTGATCTGACCAATCAGAAAACAAGGGGTGTGGCTTATGTGAGAAAATTGCGCGATGACAGCATTTTATGAATTAGTTTTCTTGCAGGGGGCGGGGTCGGTGCGGTCAAGGTGTCACAAGACTAATGCCTAGTATTTATAAGAAAAAAATACTACAGCTGTAATACACAAACATATTTTTCAGTTCGTAGTTTTGTCTCCAAAACAAAAGAATAAAATGATTTGTATAAAAGATTTAAGCATTGTACTCCTTCTGAACTGTGCATTGGTAAGTATAATAATTCACTTCCTCATTTAGAGATTGGTCCATGTGCAAGTGTTACCATAAACCGATATTTTACATAACAGGCGGTCATTCGAGCCCTGGGGTCATCTGTCGTTACTGTACCCCTAGAGGACTCTGTCTGGGGACCCAAGAAAGGCAATCGACCGCACTTAGAGGAACCCAGACCCCCCTGTAACAGAAAGTGTGAATACGGATATGACACTGATATCGAGGGGAACTTTATTTGTAAATGTAACAACCCTTGTCAGGTAAGTTATTTCACGTATTTATAGTGTCATTCTTTGTATCTGTAAATTATTATTAGATTTATGTTTAAAATATTTCTGTTATTAAATTATTGCTTCTATTTTAATTTACTCTGCATGAAAAGTACGGAATCCTCAAATGTAATTTTAATCCGTGTGATTTTAACACAGTTTAAATGATTAAATGAAAGACCCTTTATCAATTATGCCGGTTCATTGACTTTGCAAAAAGAGTGAAATTTTAACAAGCCTCAAATGATGTTATTTTGATGTACAATGGTGAGTTCCGTTAGTGCTATAGGTTAGAAGAATTGCTACTGGCGCCGTGGTTTGACATTTGCACGTGGGGAAAAATGTAGGAAAAAATACACAATCGTAATCGCTGGTGTTTATTTAAAGCAGCCTCAAGCATCTTGTGTATATACTACAAAATTTGCTTTAATTGCATTGAATCACTGGTAAACTATGTAATACAGTACTTGAACATTCCGACAAAAGTCCCATCCGAGTTTTTGATACCAGTTTGGATTATGTTTTATGACTTAGACAATCAACAATCATTTAAATATCTTTTAGTGACAGGGTGTTGTCTAATTGTTCCGAGTTATTTTTTAACCTTTACTCATAAAGAAGAATTTGTGTTACAAATCATCCCTCGCCCTAAATGAGTAACACCCAAGATCTTGATAGATCTTTATGCTTAGAATAATAAAACAGATCGAATCTGGAGAATATTTATAGGTTGGAATTCATTCAAATGAATTACATTAAACAAATAACTCGCTAAATTAAGGGTATCAAAACAAAATGGGAAATTCCGACGCGTTCTGCGAAATCACCGGCGTTGGGTTTAATTGAGGAATTTGTATTATTACTCATTTGAGATTCGGTCGCCCCCGCTATGTTTTTCTTTTTATCCTCCCCGGCTTCCAAATGACTCTGAGTCAGAAAATTTGTTTCAGTGTTTGAGGAGATGTTTATAGGAAGTGACCAATCACGAGTAAAAAGCAGACATCTCTCTGATAAGATTTTATTCAGTTTCATCGACTGAAGTTGGCTAATGATAAAAGACAGTCAATCAAATACAAGGACAAGATAAGCAGAGTATATTAATCAACTGTACTCTAATTCTATAAGAACCATGTGCATCATTTTACTTATTCATTAATTGGGGTGATCGAGATATCGCTGTGTATATGGGATTTGGACCAATACTTAATTTTCAAGAGATGTTGACCACACTGCCAAGAAGTGTCATTCTCACAGCTGATTTTTACGTCAGATGATAGTGAAAGTATGCGAAACCTTTTTAAAGTAAAATCGCATAAAACCCTATTTCTAAACAAATGACGCAGGTGACCACTGGGGACAGATGACCCACGAAATGTTTTGGAAACTCTATAATTAATGGCGATGGGGAGCTTTGTGCCCTGACCGAAAAAAAAACTCTCTAAACAAACATCTCATATTTCAGCCTGCCTCCCCTGGCCTTGTGTGCCTGTATTATTGTTTACCTCCTCTAAAGGGTCAATGCCACGTTCAGTTCAACCTGCGAGACTTGAGAAAAAGAAATCGTTTTATATTCTTTATCTTTAATCGGGCAGCATGCATTCGATCTCGGATTAACGCATTGATACCTGTAGGACACACGCGAAAAAGCAAAACTGCAAAAATGCAGACTTGAGATCTTTACTATGAATTGATCACTATATAGCCAATACATTTTTATTGCTATATTAAATCATTTACTATCTATAGTCATTTGGAGACCAAAAAAAGTGGACAGGAGATAATGACCATAATTCAGTCGCGCGACACGACTTTTGGCGCCTGGCTACATTCCCAAGAACGTTTTTTTTACGTGATCATGAACGTCAGACCGATTCGAAGAGAGCGTAAATAAGACCCACAATGTATGAACAGTGTCTCTGCTACGGTCATCCCCCTTCTATGGAGTTTCCATAAAAATGCCAAGCGATGGTATTTTGAAAAAAAAGATGTTTACTGCCCAAATTCATGATTGTGGCAAAACGTTAATAAACGTGTCACACATTCTGCGGTTAGCGCGAAAAATACTTCCGCGCTACACAGCTGGAAAATGACAATTATAGGTCTATTATCTTCCTCTCAAGGCCATAACGCATACAACTGTAATAGAAAATCTCCTCAAAGTAGCTATTAGAATGGTTCGGTGATAAATGTGATAGTGTATAGGATGAGACATAACGTAACCGTTTTTTGACATTCACGTTACTATTTATATCCAAAAACTAAATGATTTTTAAAGTACCCCTTTCAAGTAGAAGTGTCTGTCTAATTCTAACATGGGTTCATTAATCATCTAGAGATAATTACTACCATTATCGATGTTGAGTTTTATTTCGGGTTAGTATTTAGATGAGGACAAATGGACGATGTCCTTATTATACATTGCCGGGCTCGCGTTTCCATTAAACTGACCACCATTGTATTTGGAGCAAACGATTCTGACAAGCTCAAGAATTTTTCAAGAAATACCAAATATTTCTGACCGCAAAATATCTTAACGCTAAATTCACGGATCTGCAAAATTTGAAAAAAGAGGCAAACAGATGTGGTAAATCAACATAAAAGTTTCTCAGTGATTGCTGCACTGCCTTTTGTTAAGGTTCTGACAACGAAATGCACAGTATTATAGACATTAAAATATTACTTCCCCTCTCTCATTCCAGAATGTATACTGTTTTGCTGGAACAACGTGTGTTATTTCCAAGTCTTGTGACAGAGGAGCATGCAAACTCGATGCTTCTTGCAAGGGTATGAGATTTTAGTCCAATTAAAGTATATTCAGTTCAAAATACTCCTAAGTGTGATCAAAATGTCCACTTGATTGCATGTCATGTTCCTTTCCTTTGTCCACTGTAATGTGTTGTTGGGCTGTGGGAGGGCATCAGGGCGCCTCTAGTCGCCTAGCACTGTCTTTTACAACTTAAAAGTACGTATACTTAAAGAGAATATCATATTATTATTTTTATCCCTTCAACCTTAGCTATAATGAGCTCATCCTGCTTTAAAAAATTTAGACACATTTAAAGTGAAATAACCAAAAAAAAAAAAAAGGAAAACCAAAATTAGGTCATACGTGCTTTATTAATCAATAATGTACTAATGTTTTCAACCTGTCTTGTGTATATATCATAGCAAACAGGTACATTACGTAAATATAGATCTTCACGTGGGGCTAATTCATTTCTATAACTTTACAACGCTATCCATTCAGTAGAATTACCGATTCCAATTATCCTGTTATGAAAGCAAAAATTCGAAAACCGCAATATTCTTAGGAATCCTTTAGAGATCAACTGACAGCATTTAAAGAATGTTCTCCACAATCATTATTTTGTACTTTTATCTAAAATGTTCTTTCAAGATAATTGTTTGATTAGATACAATATAAGACAATTCTACTGTTTATATACATTTTATTATATTTTTAGTGGGTGATGACATATATGCTGACCTCTTTGAATCTTTCAGTTCATAGCATTAATATCAATATTTTTTTCTTTTGATGTAGATTTAAGACGACAGAAAGACATCGGCTTAACTTCACCACTTAAGAGCCAGGATTTCGTAGGTGTTTCTTTTGATACTGCAAACTTCGTCCAAACGGATGCAAACACAATTTGTAGACAGCCTTTATCATTCGATGTGTTCAACTGTCCAAAGCGAATGCGACGTTATATGTATGACGCAACAAAAGGAAGGTGCGTTCGATTCTGGGGCTGCAGAAAACCTGGGAACAACTTCGATAAAAAAAGAACTTGCAAAGAAACATGCATATTTCCATATAAAGGTGAGTTTTATTTTCAAATTGGATGGAGTGCGTATTTTTAATTTTTTCTACGGGTACAATTGCTCATGTTTCTCGGTCAAAAAAAATATATTCATTTTTAATCACTTTTGCATTATAAAGTGACAGTTGTTTTATATTTTAGTTTTTCAAAATCCTTGTTTGAACACTTTTCATGCACAATATGGATTATATGCTATCCGGTAATACGTACCAACCTTGAAAGTAAAAGTGAGTTTGAGCCCGAAGTGGAATCGGTGCAAGCTTATGTAAGTGACGAACTGCCGGAGTTCCTTCTCTTTCTGCCAGCTGTTTTCCTTCGCTTATGTCTATCTTGATGAAGATCGAATGTCCTTCTAAATAAACTTATATGTTATCTCAACGAAGAACGAGATAATAACGTTAAATCGTAAACAAGTATCAAGGCCGAGCTATGTATACTTTGATTTTCCTCTAACACCCACATGTCTTACAATACAATCACTGGAATACAAAATGCTTCAGTCCTGGGGTTCGGACAAGAATGTTGATGAACAAAAGACCACCTTTTATCTTCTAAATCTCTGTCCACTTTACAGAATTACCTCGGACAAACATTTTTCTTCTATTATGTGAGAAATTGTTAACATAAATAAAAAAATTCGATATTACGCAATATTTTCCCCTTGTTCGCATTTTGCAATTGCCGAATCATGCTTACATATACCCATATAAGGGGTAACAACAAAATCCATACCTATCATTAATTGTTTTGATTATATTCTCCTCTTTACGAATGGTTCAAGGAAAGAATTTTAATTTCCACGGAGACTGTGTTTCGATAATTTGTTGTAAATCTATATTTCGATAATTAAAATAAATCGAATTAGCTGTTCGGTCCTCACACCGCCAGTGGTTAATTACTGGGTGAAACATAGTTGCACATCTATTCAGTTTAAGGAGACATAAATTTGAGCAGAAAATTAAAGATCTAATCGCAACTCGTCGACAAATGTACTAATGTTTTTGCTGAAGGGAAAACAGGACTTTTTAATGCCTAAAATATTCATCTGCTCTGGAAAAAAGAATATTACTTGCTATCTAATCACTGTAAGGACGGTACCAGGTCTCCAATGGTCCAACTGACACCACTTTATTTTTTCCTATGATTATTCCTATACTTTTAATGTATCGGTATAAGTTTTTGTTGCATATTTCGACAGCATTTTAACCACGTGGGTTCAGTTTTTGAATTAGTCCATCTTTTGATCATAAAATGGTTAAGACAAAGTATTAACATTGTTCCCATGCTTCAAGTGTCATTTCACTAAAAGACGTTAATGGTAACCTTACAGCAACACTTATATTAACTTTTCTGTTATTAACTTCCCTTATTTGTCTAGCAATATACCCTTATCACCTGCGGTTTATGTCTCCCAAATAATTTGATACGCACGAGTATACGCACACTCTTCCTACCAACAATTTCTACAACGAGGCAAGGTATTGACAAACAAGTTGATGAAACAAGAATATCAAGTCTCGTTTAAATCATCATTTCGCAAGTTCCATGGTCGATGCAATAACTTTGTAAGCAAATCCAATCTCTCATTAAGTCTAATGTTGTCTGACCTTTTTCATTCTAATTGTTAGGCTATTATTTACACTACCGAATTGTCTACGGATCGTTTTTTCGTTTTCTCGGGCGGGTGTGACCAGTCGACAGGGGATGTTTCCTCCTCCGTTGCACCTGATCCCACCTCTGGTGCTTTCAGAGGCCCATGGTTTGCTCTGCTCCCGATTTGTATTTTTCAAAGGACTTCTGATCTTAATTACTATTCCAAAATGCATATTTCATGTCCTGGTCTGTCAGTCCATATTTGATAAGTAATAGGCCTTTTCTCTTTCATTAAGTTTTCTTTTGTATGTATGTTTAGTAATTACCTGAACAACTTTTTATTTCAAATACATGTGCGTTAGAAGTTTGAACTAGTTACAGAAAACGTGCTTTTAAAATGTATTTGTCTTCATTACAAATAATGGAATCTACTTTTTCTGTTTAACCACTGCCTGTATACGTATTAATGATAACTTGAGAAATTATATATTCTTTACAGGCAAAGCGCACAAAACCCGACTGAGACCAAGGAATGTGAGATGTCAATTTCCCGTGGAGAATATGCATATTGTCTGTTCCGGAAAACTCCGACGACGATGGGTGTTTGATGTACTGAGAAACAAGTGTATTAAAATTAAGGGATGCCCACGACCTGGAAATAATTTCCAAAAACGGCTAGAATGTAAACTACAATGCGTGCGCCGAAGGAAGTGGAAGAAATTCGGTTGAAGTTCTTACATCCAAAGTACCCACGGTTAACAATAGGTACGGTAGAGACTGTAACCTTATTTCCAAAACTGCAACAGAAATAAACAACACTGACAAGAACGTTTATCGATCAAAACGGATTTTGCAATTTATTGTTGCATACAGGATACAGCGCTCCGAAAGAATTTCCCATTCACTCCCCTGTGCCATTCCTGTTCAGAAGCGTTTCGAGAAAAGAATGGCGGCTGGACCGCCATGATTGACACGGAATCTGTCGGATTCTACGTAAAGACGAAATACTGATACTGTATAATATACTTCAGTATGTTTTTCACGATAATATTTTAAAAGCATGGATTTTTTTTCAATTATTTTTATTATGTTACTCTTTGTTTGATTTATGTTTTAAAAAGTATTTTTTTAAGTTGTTGACAATAAAATGAAGAAGACCCTTTCTTAACGAAGTTTAAACTTCAGTTTCACACGGATGAAATGTAAACCACATTGAAACACGTTTAAATATGTCAGTTAAAAGAGAATGATTCTTCCTGTCATCCGGCAATGATGCCAATTAGAATCGTATTTCCGTCCAAAACAAGTAAATCTGCTATTGTGTATTATGTAAAAATGAGATGATTACACGTGGTGGCTGGGGTGAAAAGACAGTGACACTTTGTGACAGGGTTCTATACAGGTCGTGACCGAAGGTGCACGGGGGGACGAAGATGTCTAGAGAGAGAGATTCCATATGCTGAGAAACAGGAGATTTATTGCTTTTGCATCAACGAATCTGTAACAGATATCTTGTAAATATCTGAAATCAAAATATTTTGCGTACAAAAATGAAAGTCACAAAATCTTCATTATTTTGAGTGATAATTTTATTGTCGTTACCAAAATTAAAAACTGATTTGAAATTATTGTGTTTTTTTTTAATATAAAAAGTTAAATAAAAGTATATGAAAAAAGCCTTGCACCGGTACTCCTTTTCCAGGAGATTATTACGAAGTTTAAGAACAAAGTCGTATCTCATACTGATTTATAATGTATTCGATGTCTTAAATTATTTGCATAACAGAGCCAAATCAAGGAAAAGATGTAAACAGTCCAGGAATCAATTCAAAATTATCGCAAATCAGACAGAGACGACATTATCAATCTAAAATAGATGCCCAAAGAAATTAAAAACCGATGTTATTATTTTTTTTTTTAGAAACAACTCTTTAATTAAAACTGCAGGTTATTCTGCCTAAAAACTATTTAAATCATGTTTGTTCTAACCATATTTTAAACCCATTTTGTTACAATTATTTAAGTTGAATAGCAAATATGCCTACATTTGTACTATGCGTTACATCATTCTATCAGTCAAATGACCTACCGGTATATGCTTGTCGTCAGTTGGGGAAAAGGGATTTTTTTTTTAATTTGTTTGTATCATCCTATAACCAAGGGAAAAAACACCATTTATTTGCTTCCTCCCGCGTGGCGCAGTGGTTAGAGCGTCTGCTCTAGAGTCGCGAAGTAAGGAGTCAATCCTTACGTCGCGGGTTCGAATCCAACTGTGGGACATGGAGACCGGTCCTTCGGATGAGACCGTATAAACCGAGATCCCGTGTCGCAGTAGCTGCTGGCACGAAAAAGATCCCTCCTTGCTAAATGGCCCTGAGTGCCGAGTATAGGACAAACTTGCAGCTCTCCACCGGCAAGTGGTCGCGTCTCCATATGAGTGAAAATTCTCGAGAGGGACGTTAAACAATATACAATATCAATCCTCCCCCGGACCCCCACTAGGGCTTTGTCCTGAACCCACTGGAGACTTCAAAGCAACCCCAGACCCCCTACCTTCTACTGTGCACCCCGTTTTGAAATTCCAGGATCCGCCGCTGCTAATGCCTCATTTATCCATAATAAAGCTTGATTTTGTAGGTCTTGTACAAACACATCACAGTGCCCTTATTTTCTTTTTTAATAAACCTGATATAAATACAAAGTGGGCCTCGTTAACGATGCTCTTTGAGGGTTTCCGAAATGGTATGCCTCTGTCGTTCATGTTTTGGTTAACCAGAAATTCTAAGGATAATAAAATCACGTAAAGTGATTAAAACAAAACGTGATGGCATGTACATACATGTATAAAAGTTTTCTAGAATTTTACCTCCAGCAATTGAGGTAAAATGAACAGAGATTCATGTACTTTACACATTACTATACATGTAATTGGATTACCCGAAACATGCTTAAACAGTATACATTAGAGTGAGATTTCATCTTAAATAACGTCTAAAAAGCTAAAATATTTCTCAAGGAAAGAATATAGGCGAACAATGCGTGCAAAATGCCTATGGCTTTAAATATATAACAGTTACAATTAATTTTTGAATTTCGCATTTAGGGTAAAATTTTATCATTAAAAAGTACGCAAAATTCTGAAATCTAATTTTTTACTGCGGAAATTCTGTGAAATCAACTCATTCTGTGATTTTTTTAAATTAAAATGTGCAAGGATTCAAACCCAAACAGAAATTTGAAAAAAAAGATGTTGTAAAACACTGATCCCCCCTGTATAGGAGTTGTTGGTATCCAAAGGAATTTCTTGTAACAAGAAATATACACCAGTGAAATATGAAAGCCCTAGTGCCAACTGTTCAAAAATTATGACCAAGGTTAAAGTTTTTTAAAACTTTAAAAGAAGATCAAACTTTAAGGCCAAGGTCAAAAATTATTTACATGCACACCCACATTTCACAATGAATGAACATGTTATTAAGTATTAAAGTCATAGCACCTACTATTCAAAAGTTATGGCCAAGGTTAAAATGTGGTCATTTTTTGTAAAAGTGGGACAAACTCCAAAGTCAAGAGGTCAAATTTGGTGGTCACAAGGAATACACCTGTGAATATTAAAGCCATAGCCCAACCCACTCAAAAGTTATGATCAATGTTAAAGTTTTTGCGGACAAATAGACAGACGGATGGACAGGGTAATCTTCGATTACGGGGGCATAAATTAAAATACGGAAGTAATATTCTTCCCTTCGCGAATAACACGCTTACCACTACTTTATTCCAAATATCGGCATTTAATTGAATCATATTTCGTGCTATGGTCATAGACTTTAATATTTCTCAGAAAGTTTGGATTACACAAATTGTATCATAAAAGTAAATCAAGTGGGGTCTTTGTTTCATATTTTTCTAAACTGAAGAATGCATATTTTTAAGCAAACTTTGAGTTTAATCCTTCAAACAACCAGAAGTCTCTGTCGAGAGTGAAGCTCCACTGGTTTGTACTTCCAACAAAGAAAGAGAAAAGTAACTGGGGACTTGAAACGTTACAACAGCAATAAATAGAAAAATGATCCTTGATTAAGTCTCTTTTTGTGGAAACATATTGCTACAACTGTAGGTGTAGCTTTAAATAAAATTTTGAGAGTATTTTACAAAAAATTATCTTTAGTAACCACGGCAACACCGTTCATCGAAATCAAAAATCGATATGCAGAATTGTGTATCTTGTGTAGACTACTTGGGTGCCAAGTTATATTGCAATCTGACAAAACTTGCAGAAGTAGCATTTTGAAAGTATTTCACAGAAATTTTTATTTTTAGTAACCATAGCAACACCATTCAACGAAATATAAAACGGATAAACAGAATTATATATCTTAATGTAGTCTGCCTTGTGATATTGAAAGTAGACAAAAACTGTAGGAGGAGAAGCATTTTGAAAGTGTTCATCGAAATAAAAAAGCGATACACCGAATTATTTATCATTGTGTACTCTACTTGTGTCTTAAGTAATATTGAAATCAGACAAAAACTGTAGGAGTAACATTTTAAATGTATTTCACAGAAAATTCTATTTTTAGTAACCACGGCAACACTGTTCATTAAAATCAAAAACCGATACACCGAATTATGTATCATAGTGTAGTCTACTTGTGTGCCAAGTCAGACAAAAACTGCAGGAGGAGTAGCATTTTGGAAAAATTGTGTACAGACAGACAGACAGACGGACGAACGCCGGACGCATAACTATGGCATAAGCTCTTCTGGTCTCTGACCAGTAGAGCTAAAAATGAAGCGCTGTAGCAACCTCTAATGATAAAACGCCGGTTAATGATACAAATAGCATTAAGCGTAGCAATTGCAACGCTTAATGCCATAAATTATTGCATTAATAGCTGACATTATCAACCGCTAATGCTAAATCGCCGCTTAATGACAGAATTATATCATTAAGCGTCACAAATGCAGTGCAACACTGACGCTTAATGAAACAAGCAAATATCGACATATTCGACGCTTAATGATACACACTATTGTATCATTAAGCGTTGCAGTTGCAACCCTTAATGATATAAAATTTAGAAATCGCTTGTTATATCTAAGAGAAACACACATCCACCTTTGCTGAACAATGAGATATCACTTGTCAAAATATTTATATATGCCTAAATGGTAATTATTGAAGTTTTATTGTGTTTTCTATCTAGTCAAGGGAACGTCTTTGAGCCCCGGATGTTTAAGAGACAGACAGTCAGTTGGAAGAAAGAGATACAAAGAAGGGATAAATAAAATGATATTCAAATTCTTTTTAAAAAAATAATTTTCTACTGAAAATACAGAGGCAAACAAGCAATTTGATTCCTTTTAATTTGATAAAATGATTTGAATACTCAACCTGAAATACATAAAATATATTTAAATATTCCAAACTTTTTATTTTAGATTTGATACAGCTTTACACATGTCACTGTTAACGTTTCAGATATACGTATCGAGGAATAAATTTATAATTTTCACTATAATTGTATTTTTAATCTACGGAAGTGTATTGCTGTCACTAGAAAAAAATATTTTTGTAAGTCGTACGTACGAGATACTAAGTCGTATGTACGACATACTAAGTCGTACATACGAGATTATAAGTCGTACGTACGAGATACTAAGTCGTATGTACGACATACTAAGTCGTACGTACGAGATTATACGTCGTACGTACGAGATACTAAGTCGTACGAACGAGATACTATGTCGTACGTACGACATAATAAGTCGTACGTACACTGTACAAGATAATAAGTAGTAAGTACGACATAATATTAAGTCTTACGAACGAGATAATAAGTCGTACGTACAACATAATAAATCGTACGAACGAGATACTATGTCGTACGTACGACATAATAAGTGGTACGAACGAGATACTAAGTCGTACTTACGAAATACTATGTCGTACGTACGACATAATAAGTCGTACGAACGAGATACTAAGTCGTACGTACGACATAATAAGTCGTACGGACGAGATAACATTAACCCTTGTAGTCATGTTTACAAGATAAAATATGTTACACAAACGATATAATATGTGGTTATCCGGATTTCTTTATAGCATGTTTTATATCATGAATAGATGGGCATGCCAATAGTTGTCGTGCTTTTGATTGCTAAAACGAAAG